TGTGGAGAGGAAGGGTGGGACCAGACCAGGCGGGGGGGGGGCGGGCATGGAGAGCGGCGTGGGCAAGGCTCAGCCAGCCAGCCAAAAACAACCGCCCTCAGAAGCCACCCCTGCTTCCCAGGGCGGGGAGGTTCCAGCACCTGCTGGAGGGCCTCGGGGGAGATCAGGGCAATTCTGCCCACCTGTGTCCCCCCTCTGCGGCTCAGGGTCCCCTTTCACTTGCTAACACCCTTCTGTTTGAGGACCAGGAGCCTCTTGGGTGGAACCTCCCCCGGGGAGCCTCCCACCTCCAACCCACGATGACGTCTGCCTCCTACAGACCCACAGAATTCACCGGCTGGGTCACCTGTCAACAGCCAATAGCTGTAGGTCTAGCTAAGCAGCAAGGACTGTGTAGGTTGACAGAGCAACTTGGTTTCATATTTGGAAAACACAGCAGAGAGACCCTATTGTGTTCACCTTACAAAAACCAGAAAGTAAAGCTTCCAAGATGGTCTTGGCTGGTGATAAAGACGCAGATGGTCCCCCAGAGGCCACGATACCCAGGGATGGGCCAGAATCTCCAGGAGTTGAGGGATGTGAGCTGTGGTTATCGAAAGGGAAGGTGACAACTCCGTACAGGAAAACTTCGTTATTTAGTGACATTTCATAACTCACCACCTCCAAACATGCCTATTCTTTCCTTACTTCCTTCACTCATTCATGTACTCATTCAGTGTCTGTTCAGCATCTGTCACCACAAGGCACTGGGAGGGAATATGGAAATAACCAGAATGAGATCATTAGCCTAAGACAGAAAAGAGGGTGGGCTTTATGGTATGGGATTATATCTCAATAAAACTTTTATTAAAAATGTTTTCTCGAGAGTGAAACCTGACAAACTGGATACTTGCATGCAGAGCTAACATTGGTTCACTGGCGCCACGAGGCCTCGGAGACACAGTGAATTCTGGATGAAGAGCAATCTAAAATTATATGGGAGCCATGGATTCCTGAAAAACAGTAGCACCAGGTCAAATATACTGAGTTATAAGCATGAGAGTAGCTCAGTTGTCCAGGAACAATCCCATGTCTTCCGGGGGGAAAAGCACATTATGGGTTTGCTTGGCATTCCCTTAGACCTACTTTTATGTTGAAAATAATGAGACTAATAGGCGGAGACAGCATTTTTAGGGCCTTAGGAAGAAAAGGGAACAGGAGTTTTTAAAGATGGAAAAGCACTGATCTAGAAACAAAAATCAAGACCACTGTGGAGCTGTTTTTTCTATGAACTTTTCATATTTCTGTCTTCTCTTCGTAAGTGGCAAGGGAAGGAAGTATATCTGGTATGCATCATGCACGGTGTCCTCCAGGCTCTGGAAAAGGCACTTGCTATGTCCGTGAAAGGACACGGGTGCTATGGTCGGGCAGGTCTGGGTTACAGTCCTCACTAGCACTGATCCTGGACACGTCACTTCCTCTCTGAGGCTTTGCCCATTTCAGAAAATGAGAGCACCACCTATCACACAGAGGGAGTGAAGATCCAAGGAAAGATGCCTGAAATAGTGCCTGGAATACAGTGGGTGCTCATTAAGTGCTGGTGCCCTCTTCCAGCTAAAGTACCCGTCCCAGGGGACAACAGAGAGAGTCTGCAGGGAATGCAACACTCTCAACACTGCTTTCCCATTGAGCAAGCCCCAAACTCACAGCCCAGGAGATTCTCATCAGGCTGGGCCCCAGCCCCAGGGGCCCACCCCACCTGCCCCAGCACCAACCTCCCACCCCAGAGAAGGGCCACCAGCCAAAAGCTGGCAGCTCTCAGGAGCCGCACCACGACAGATAACTGTCATTCGGGTTTTATTTATGACAACTTCTTAGAACACACACATCCAGTCTAGGAACAGAAATGTACAGCATGAGGCTTAAATAACTTTCGTACACTATGTACAACCATCGGCAGAAGTACAAAACATATATACATCTTGTGCTATAGCCGCATAGCGAGGAGGGCATAAGCCACACGAGACCCTGCAGCCTGGGCAGGGGGTGATCCCTAGAAAAGAGCTGGTGGGCAGGGCGGGGCCCCGATTCACTTCAGGGGTCTTCTCTGACCCTTGGCTCTTCTTGTAGTAGTTCCCACTTCCCTGCAAAGCCCTCGGGACAAGGGTTCAAAAACCTGGACCAGAGTATGCTAAGGGTTGGGGGCTCATCGGAGTGCTGGGGCTGGGCAGGGTGTGGGGGCTAGAATGAAGATGCCATAGAAAACAGAATTTTCCTTGTAGATTCTGTCCGTGCACATAAGAGGGCTGTGAGGGATCCTGGGAACCAGGAGAGTAAGGCCAGGCTCAGGAAGGCCGGTGGGGCCACTGGCCAAGCCCTGGCTCCTGAGGCTGGGCCAGGATTCTGGGCTAAGCTAAGACAGCGGTAAGCAGTTTCCTGTTTGGGATGGCAAACGGGCAGATGCCACACGTTCGAGCCGCTGGGTGGGAAGAAACTCACTGCTCTTGCAGGGCAGGCCCTGCCCCCACAAACGTGATGGTGAAGATGCTGGGCTCAGTCTGGGGCTGAACAGGCCGGGGGCTGTGCCCACGCCTGGCCCAGACCGCATCAGAGGATGCCCCCGAGAGTTGGGGTGGTCTACGTGAGGGAAGAGAGCATTTCTAACTTCACAGCCGCAGCCTGCCCACGTCTCTGCCACACTGGGTGTCGTGGGAAAGTCCCAGCCACGGTCTTCCCTACGGCGGTTTTGTGCTTTAAACTGCCCTCTGCCCAGGCGACACCGCCCCAGGTGGGCAGCAGGGCCAAACAAGAGAGGGCTGGAGCTGTAGTGATGGTGGAGGGGTAGGGAGACCACTCCCAGATCCGCAGATGTCCCTTCCCAAACCCACAGAGGCACCCTGACCACCTCAAAGGCCTGGGCGTGCCTTTCCTCTTCCTTGGCCATCTCCAAAGCCAACTCCAGGTGCTACCTTGGGGAATTCTGGCTGTCGTGGAGCGATCAGCTACTCACATGAGAGCGAACACTGAACTGATTAATACTGAGAACAGAACCCGGCCGGAGACTGTGCTGAGCAGGGCCACAGGCAGTCAGCTTCAAAAGCATTCAAGGGGGGCTCAGCCCTGGGGACAGGGAATGTGGCTCTGGGCTCCTTAGGCCCAGTAGGGCTGGGACCCAGCCTGGGCTCAGGCATTTAAAGACTTGGGGGGTGTGGGGTCGAGAGAGGGAGCTAACTCCTGGGCCCTCGCCTTGTGATGTGGCCGGGCCAGCGTTCGCCCTGGCTCAAGTCTGCAGATGGGCAAAGAAAAGTAAGTAGTATGACGAACCCTCCAGTATCAGGGCAAGCCATGGGCTGAGCCCTGGTCTGAGTGAGGAAACGCCCTCCCAGACCTGGCCATACTCGGTCTAACTGTGGACAGAACCAAGCTGGGAGGAGCCCCCTGGACCCAGGTCTGCCCAGGCCACTTGCCACAAGCCTTGCTATTTGTGCTCAAATCACAACCATTTTGTGCTTCCAACCTTTAGGATGCTGGGGGCCTGCCCCCTAACTATGTACCTTGGACATCCCTGAAGGAGTAGGCAGAGACTCCAACACTCTTGGAGCACAGCTTTTGGAAGGGCTCAGGGCTCCCGAGGGACTTCAAGTTTAGAATCAATGATACTCGCCAGGACAGCAGAGCCGGCCTGCCGTGAGGTAGCTGACCCATCAGAAACAGCAGAAAGTGGGCAATGATGCTGAGCACCTCTCGCAGGCCGTAAGGTCACATCTCGCGCAAGAACGGGCCTTGCAGCTACAGTACCGTTCCCCAGGCTGGGGCAGCGCCGACCCATGGGGGCAGCGCAGTCTTTTGTGTTTCTACGGTTTGTAAACAGTCATGCAGACAGAGTCTTACAGGTTGCAAGGTTGAAGCTTTCTGATCAGGTGGGGAGAAGGATGGGGAGGGGAAGAGACGCTTGCTTCCACGTGGCCGAGGGAGCGGCCGGGCCCCCCCGGGCCGGCTGAAGGAGGAGGGATTTCCAGCCATCACAGACTGACTGTCCCAGGCTCCAGGAGGCCAGTATTCCAGAATGCATGCTTCCTGCACACATCAGCTTACCCAGACTCCACCGCCAGGGCCAGCAGGGGCTGCTCAGAACAGGGGGGAAGCAGGGCTGGGCACTCAGGCCCCAGCAGGTGTTTTTCCCTTTTGCTGCTAGGACATCCTCCTCTGCCCTGTGTGCCACACTGGGGCCGCACGGGGGGGCTCCAATTCCCCTGGCCAAACAGGCAGAGGCACAGAGGACAAACCCAGAGCTACCTCTGGAAGGTCTAAAAGTCACTGCATATCTCAGAACAGAGTTGGGGCTCCTGGCTACCAGACCGAGGACAGGAAGCACAGGACCAGTTAAGCATTGGAAAAACACTGTGGATAGGTTGGGGCAGGGGGATGTCCTGGGACTCCTCCCAAGGCCCGGTCCTGTAAATTCAGAATTTCCCCAACAGGGGGCGCTAGAACACGGATTTAACCAGTGACGTGAGTCCACAGCCCCATGGCAAAAAAGAAACTCAATGAATTCCTTCTTCACCACTAATCTAAAACGGGAGGGCCTCTTGCCCCATGCCAGCTTTAAGGCTTGAAAATGTGTCTCCTAAAAAACCAGAGAGAAAGAGGCCGGAAGGACTCCCGGCCCTGTTGGGGTGAAAATACAGGTGAGCTGGGGAGGGGGCTGGGCCAGCCTCACCAAGCCATCCTGGTAGACACAATTCTCTGAGCTGCTTCCTACATGGCCCGCACAGGACTCTGGGAAGGGGGGCCCCTGGCCCTGGGCTGTTGGGTGGAGCTCCCCTGCCTTCTGGGGGCAGCGGGCACGGGACCCCGTGAGTGCAAAGACACGTGTGGTGCCCGCGGGCATGGCTGGTGTAAGGCTGCCCAGCGTGGGTGCCAGGCCCCGCGGTGGAGGAAGGCACTGAAGCATCAGGCGGCCTAGAGGTCAGGGGTGCACTAGAATGGTCCCTGGGGGCAATGCTGGGGACGGGCCCGAGCTGCAAAGCGAACAGAGGAGGTGGCCCTGGAAGGCTGGTTGGGCAGATTCCCTTTGGGATTCCTGGCCCCCGAGTGCTGAGGGAAAGAACATTTGGGGAGAAACTTCAAGTCAGTTTCCAGGAGGCAACAGCAAAAAGTAAAAATAAAAAAAAAATAATAAATAGCTGAAGTATTTCTGACCATCTCCCCAAAGGAATTTTTCTAGCAGCTCTACCTTGGCCCCATTAGAAAGGGACCCCAAGGGACGGCTGGGGTCAACTGGGAATGGCTGTTGGTGGCCAAGGGGCTTAGGGTCAGCTGCAGGGCCCAGCTGCCAACACCTGGTTTCCATGGTTACCTGAGGACTATCATTTTGGGCTCAGAGGCAGGTGCAGTGGCTCCGAAGGCTGGATTAGGGGGTAGCAGGGGAGGCCTGTTCATCGGTGGGGCGGGGGCTGGGGGTGCTTCGCCTCCCCTACAGGTCCCTGCGACTGGGCCAGAGGCTTAAGGAAGGGCATGGCCAGCTCAGAAGGAGAAAATGTGGCCAGAGGGAGGGCAAGGGGAGCCCGAGGGGCCTGCAGGGAGAGAAATGAGAGGGGAAAATGCCCTTTGGCTTCACAGCTTCAATTCCTCCCCAAACCTCTCTCCCCCCGCCAACCCAAGAGGCAGGGGGTACAGTATCCCATAGGAAGGTCAAGGGAGAGGCAGGAGAGCAGGAGAGGGGCCACACCTGAGGCCCAAACCCTCTGTCCCCAGGGCAGTTGGCCCTGTCAAACCACAGCTTCCCTTCTGTGCTGTCCAGGCTGCCGGGGGGCCGAGGGTCTGGGGGCCATCCTCTGAAAGACAGCCCGGGTGAGGACCGCTGTGTGCTCCTAGGGTGGGCCACCAGGTAACCGCCGCCCGCTCCAGAACTTCACTGTCAGGTCACTGGGGTGGAGGACAGAGAGGGACCGGTCAGCTCTCAAAGTGGGCCCGGCTGGCTACCCCCAAAGTAAAGGATGGGCCAGATTCTCCAAACTCCCCGAATGTGGCTGGGGCCCAGGGGCAAGCATTGCTGAGGATGAGGGCAGACTGCAGGGGTGGAGGGGTGGCTGGCTGCTGGGCAGAGGGAGAGGGCCTGTGGTCTTAAAGTCCCCACAGAATTCTCGTCATGGGTTTTCGTTGGTGCTGTTTTGTTTTGTCCAGGCCTGGATGCTCCCCCCTCTGCCTTCTGCCGCCTGGCACCCCTCTCCTGGGGGTTTGTCCCGCTGGTCATGCTCGGAAGAGGAGGGTGGGAGGAAGAGCGGCAGGCGGGGCATTCAGTCCGGGCCAGGCAGGGCGTGAAGGGAGAGTAGGGAGGAGGAGTAAAATAATCTCATACCGTTGAGAAGCAGCTCAGACCGAAGTGGAGAAAGAGAGGGAAGAGGAAAGAGGGGAGAATGACAGAGGAGGCGGGAGGGGAGGGTCAGGGCAGGGTGGTGGCTCGGCCCTTTATGGCCAGGACTCGGCGAGGAAGGCAGGGGGTGAGTCCGGGGACGTAATTCCACACCTTTACCCGGCAGTCACTGTTGGGGGAGAGAGGCAGAGAGGCACAGAGGAGAGGCAGGAGGAGATGGGGAGGGAAAGGGAGGAGAGAAGGGACATGGTCGGATGTGAAGGAAAAAGAAGAGACCCCTCTGAGGAGCTCCCCTGTGGGGCAGAGGCCTGGGCATCCCCTGGATGGGGACCCGAGCTGGGGCAGGAGAGAGGTGGGTCCGGAGGGGGGGCAGGGCTGCTCTGTGGTCTGAGATACGTGGACGGGGGGGCGGGGGGGGGAAAGACAGCCAGGGTGCGGCTGCTGTGGGAGGGGCAGGAAAGGCCTGCAGACAGGTGGGTGAGTCCTGACCTGGGGCCCAGCACCTTCCTGCTCCCCTGCCCCTGGCGGGCACTCCTACAGGACTAGCGCAGGCTAGCAGGCGCCGAGGGGTCTACTCCATGAGCCGAGCCTGTTGGGACCACTGCAGGGGCCCCAAGGCCCCCCAGCCTGCTCTGCCCACACCAGGGAGAGGGGCGGGGGACACACACAGACCTCTCCGCCTGGCACCCACCTGGAAGCAGTGAAGATGTGCTTGGCGTTGGTGCAGATGGCATTGATGGGGCTGTCGTGGCCCCTGATCTCGCCAATGGGTGTGAAGTTATCCACGTTCCAGACCTTGATGACGCCCGCACGGCAGGCGCTCAGCAGCATGGGGCGGCCCGGGACAAAGGCCAGGGCACACACCCAGTCCTTGTGTGCATTGGGGATTTGCTGCGGGAGGAGCAGAGCCAGTGAGGCCTGGGAGCAGTGCTGGGAGGGCAGGGCTGGCAGGGGACACTGCGCACAAGAAGGGCAGCTACCAGGCTCCCCTCTGCCTCTGGGGTCCCTGGGCAGGCAGACTGGCAGAGCACTGTCCAGGAGGTGGGCTGGGCGGGCCCACGCTGGGGACTGCAGGGGCCCAGAGATAGGTCCTTTGGTCTCCCACTCCGAGGCAAACCTAAGATCCTGCACTGGTGGAGAACCCTTCAGGCCTCGCAGGGGTAAACGCTCCAGGAAAGGGAACACAGTGAGTGGCTGAACTTTCGAGTCAAACCTGGGGGCTAAAAGCAGCCCCTTTCCAGAAAGCAGCTGCATACAGGAGAGTACAGGGGAGGCTGCAGGGGAATGGACACAAAGCGGAAGAGGGTGGAGAATAGGCAGGCTGGGGGAGCCCTGGCCCAAGACCCTAGGTCCCCAAGGCCCTGCCTGGACTGGGGAATGGCCTTACCCTAGCCCACCCCTCCCCTCCCACCCACCGCACCTGGATGAGCTCCTGCTGCTCCAGGTCCCACTTCTTGATGCCATTGTCCCGCGAGCCACTGAATAGGACATCTCCCTGGATGGCAAGACACTCGATGCCATCATAGTGTGGGGGTTCAAAGTTGTGGGTGGGGCCAATGGTGCCCGTCACACACTCACCCAACTCGAACATCTGCAGGAGGAAAAGACTGGTAGGGAGAGCCTGAGAGAGAAGGGGGGAGCACCAGGGCCACACACAGCACGGTGGTCCCCAGGAGCCGGCGGACCCAGCGGCCTGACCCAGGCTGGTAGCCCTGGCCCTGGGGGAGAGGAGCTTCTCCAGCAGGAGAGGGCTCCTGGAGGGGCACTGCTTCCGGGGACAGAGGACTCTGAAGGCTTGGGTCTTGACCCTTCCTAAGGGGACTGGGGCAGACTGGCTTAATAAGTTAATGCAGGGGGTGACCCCACAGCTCAACATGCAGCTCATATGGAGAAAGGTAGGTTTGGGGTGTAAACCTCCTTTTCAACTGCTTTTATTTTTAAATTAATATTACTTGTACTTGAAACACAAACATTATCATACCAACCACCCTCTGTTGCTCTACTTCCCAGTTTCTGACTGTGTCCATGTGGTTTGCAATGACATAATCAGGGAGCAAACGGAATTAGTGTTGTTTGCTATCCTTTGTGTTTTGTTCGCATTTTCTCAGTTCAGTAGATGCACTGCAACCTGCTCAGTGGGTTTTCCCTAATTGACATGACTGCTATTTGCCCTTAGACATTTAGATTATTTTCAATTCTGCACCATTTACAAAGTATCGCTGCAATCTACTTTCTGCACACACACACCTCCTTGCTTCTTTGGGGTGATTCCTTTAGCATAAATCCCTCGAAGTCTCATTATTTTTCCTGAGGGCTCCCAAGGCCCCAGAGGGAAGGGGTGGAGGAGGGTAGGAGGAACGCAGAGAATGCCACCCCTCCCCAGACCTCAGAGGGAGGAGGCCTTCTCAGGTACCTTAACGTAGTGGTCCTTGGAGCCGGTCACCACCAGGTCATGCTGGCTGGCGGTCTGGGTGACGGTCAGGCACATGACAGGGCCGATGTGGCCAGTCAGCTTGCCAACCGGCTGGAACCTGCAATGGGGAGAGGCCCGGCTGGTGGGGGAACACAGATCAGGGGGAACCCTGGCTTGTGGGGGCTGGTGGGGGAGGTCTGCCCTGGAATGAGTTGGTCCGGTCAGGGCACTCTGCCCGCCTCGACGCAAGACCAAGGACCAAGACATCAGCTGCCCGGCGTCCCGGGGGCCTTGGAAGACAAGGGTGCGGTATCCCAGAGCCGGGACCCAAGCCCAACAGCAGGCGGAAACAGGAGCACGGGATTCTGCCAGCCTCAACGGGCGGCATCCACAGCGGAGACCCACGGACCCCCCTGTAGCCACGCCAAGCCCTCCATGGTGCCACACGCCTCCCCTGACCTGCTGAGCTCCCAGATGCGGACGGCGTTGCCCGAGGCAGCGTAGAGCATGGTGCCTGAAGGGCTGAGGGCGATCTGGTTGATCTGGTGCTCCCCCTGAGCACTGGTGATAGCGCGGGTGGATGTGGCGGCACAGGCGTCCCCGGAGGTCACCTGGCCCGAGGACCTGCCGCAAGCAAGGACAGCAAGGTCAGAGATCAAAGCGGTCCATCCACACAGGCCAGGGAAGCAATCAAACCTCACTCAGGCCAGGCCTGATACCCCAGTTTTTCCAGGAAGCCTTCCCTGACTGACAGAGGGGAGTGAAACTCCTCCTGGAAATTTCTGGTCTGACAAGGGAGAGATCAAGGGAGATAGCGCCATGGCCAGCAGAAAAGTCCCTGTCCCTGGGCTGGGCTTGTGGAAACCACTTAATCTCTCTGAGTCCCAGTTTCCTCCTCTGTAGAAAGAGGTGATAATACCCATTCTGTTTACTCTGCTTCTTTTGTTTTTTAAAAATAAAAGACTACTTTTTTAGAGCAGTTATAGGATCACAGCAAAACTGAGGGGCCGGTTTCCCCTATTGCCCTGCCCCCCGCCACAGCCTCCCCCACCATCACCATCCCCACCAGAGGGGGGCGTTTGTTACAGCTGGTGAGCCCACCCTGACACGTCATCATCACTGTGGGCCACAGGTGACGTGGGGGCTCGCTCATGCTGTATGCTCCATGGGGCTGGACAAATGCGTAGTGACCCATATCCACCATGAGAGTGTCAGAGGAGTTTCACCACCCTCAAAATCCCCGGTGTTTACTCTTTTTTGAGGATCAAGTTGGTTTATCCGTGATCGTTTATCATGGAAACATCAGGATGAAGCATGGGTCCTGCTAGGAAACAGTTTCATTCTGCAGGGGCCCTGGTCTCACTTCCGTCCCCCACATGTCCGTCCGCCTGAGACTGTCAGGGTCAGGGATGAGAACCGGCTGGAGTGGCCCATTTACGCAGACAGGTGACCAGTGCGGCTTCGGAGTCTGTCGCTGCCTGCTGGCCCCTCGCTGGTTCCCAGCTCCCCTTTTGGACTCACGGGGGCATACCCAGCACAGCCCAGGGCCAGAGCCTAGGAGGCTGAGATGAAGCAGGGGCGGGGGAGGGGGGGCCAAGCAGGCCAAAGGCTCACCCAAGCTGCTGCCCCAGATGCTGTCCCCCAGCCCAGGGACCCCCACCTTGTCCCTCAGAGTCAGGTCGAGTCCCATAAGGGCCTCTGTGCCTGTGTAGCCGGACTGGACTGTACTGAGCGGGTCACCTGGGTTGGGCATTGGTACACAGCCCACCACTGAGAGCCAGCTCGGGGAGTACCTACGTGAGGGTCCGAATGCACTTGGCCGAGTCCCGGATGTCCCACACCTTGATGTAGGAGGTAGACACGGAGAACACAAGCCCGGAGTGACTGCAGTACTTGATGGACACCACGTTGTTGGGGTGGCCCTTTAGGGCCGCGATCTCCTGGCCCGTGACCAAGTTCCACATCTTACAGCTGCGGTCTGTGAGGGACAGAGAGAGAACCATGGGGAGGGCAGATGCCAGTTAGCAGGGGCCAGGTCACGCATGTTCCCCCTACACAGGGACTGTGGCGGTTGGGGGAGATGGTCCAGAGACATCTGGGGGGAGGAGCCCTAGGTCTGAGGGAAACAAAGATGTGCCCGGGCATGCTCACGTGGTGCGCATACACACAGAGAAACTCAGGAGAGGAGCCAGTCAGAACTTTAGACCAGGGTTTCTCAAGCAAACTCTGTACAAACACCAGAGTTCTGTGTTTGTTGCCAAGGTGCCCTGGGCTAAAATGAAATTCTTCAGCTTCTGGTGTCTCCTCCTACAATTGCTAATAGCTGACAAAATTAATGAACAAATGGCAAGCACATCTTATGGGGAAAACTTGGAATCAATCAATCACATCCAGATTAACAACTCGGCCCCCTCTCGCCATGCAAATAAAGATAATAATTGTCTTTCTAGTAGCATGTCTACTGTAGAGCTGTCTTTTCCGCTGATAAAATGTTTCTGATTTTGTTGCTGAGATTAAGTAATCATGACTTTGTGGGGTCCTGCTGCCAAGATCATAGGGATTTCTTAGCTGGAAGTGCTGGGGTGTATGTAGGTGGGGGGGTAGTAGTGTTGGGGGACTGGGATGAGCAGACAAGGCGGGGCACCTGAAAAGCTTCCTGAAGTTTCTGAGGGAGGTTTGGAAGGAAGTGCTGGATGGGGCCACCAGGGTCAGCTACGAGGGAAGACTTGGTCAGGGGCACCTAAGATGGGGAGCCTTGAGCCAAGGTAAGAGACATGAGACATGGAGACAAGCTGACCCCACATCCTCAGCTCATAGGAGGCTGTGTTTTTGTGTTCACAGCCCACTCTGGCACAGGAAGCAGGGATGGGTGAGACCCTAACCTTACCTGGCCAGTCGGGGCTCTACCCACCTTTGGATCCTGTAAACAGTAGCTCGTCTGTGGCATCCAGGCAGAGGACGGGCTTGGTGTGGCCCTCGGCCATGGAGACGCACTGCAGTGGGGCTGTCCTTGCACCCTTGGCTCCTCCAACGGGGATGATGATGCCCCTTCCCAGGAGAGAGGGAGAAAGGGCGCACCTGTCAGCCAGGGAGACTGAGGCCAGGTTGAGTGAAGTACGCAGGCAGGTAAGAGCGGGACAGAACCAACAGGGGACTAAGGCCTAACGAAGGAGACTCCAGAGACTCCAGCCCAATGCCATCAATGCCTGAAAGCTGGGAATAGGCTGTACTGGTGGGGGAGGGCCCGTCAGTCGCTGCCCTGAGCATGCCTGGGGGAGCAGGCTGCGGGCAGCAAGAAGGAGACACGGGCCCTGCCTGGGGGGGTCGGGGGGGGGGAGTGGTGGAGGTTCCCATCTGATGCCTGCCTGACCCAGACCCCGAGCCCTAAGTGCCCGCAGGCCCCAGCCAGGCAGGGCAGAGCCCCGAGGGCTGGACTGGCTCCTGCAGCTGCCCTGGCTCCTCCCAGCTGCTGCGATGGATGGGCGAGGCGAGGGGTGCGGGGAGGGAGAATGCTCAGGCTGTCAGCCTCCCAGCCCCTCCGTGCCAGTGTATCCATCTGTCGGCGACTTCTTCTGGGGCTGGCCCCTTCCCGGCAGAGACACACACGTACACTCCCCCCAACCCGTAAGCCCCCTAGGGACTTGCACGGTCAGACCCGTGACTGTCACTTACAAAGGCCCAAGTCCCTTTAGGGGCCCCCAGCTCAGCTCTGAGTTAGGGGTGTCCAGGGTCCCCTAGGGAATGAGGCCATATGCAGCTGGGAAAGCACCTCCTCGCTTCCCATGAACATTCTGGGAGGGAGAATGAGACTTGTCCTCAGCGAGCAGGAGGACTGTGTTACATCGGCCACCTGGAGGTTCTGGGGAATGATCTTTTCTCAGTGAGGGTCTTTTGGAATGAGGCCCTGGCCAAATTATGTGCAGGTCTGAAACTATGTTCTAGTTCTTTCCCAAAGAGAATGCTGTTCCTGACACTGATTCTGTGGCCTCTGGTCTACTGAAATGACCAGTGTCCCACCCACAGTGCTCTCACAGCCCCCACGGACGCAGCCAGGCCCCCTGCCAGGCCAGCAGTCAGCTAGATGTCACACGCAAGTGACCCACCCCCAAGCTGCCCCAGCTCCCCGCTTCCGACCCTGCTGTGTGGTGGTGGAAAGAGCCCGGACTGCTGTGGGAAGTACATCACCAGGATAACCCTACTCCCTGACAGAGGCTGGGAGGCTGGCTAGCTTCTGGTGCTGGCGAAGCCTTGCTGCACACAGACAGGTTTGCAAAAATGTCAACAGCCAGGCCAGGAGGTGCGGTGAGCAGTGGGCACCGTGGGTGAGCTGGAGGCAGCTCTGAGCCCAGCGCTGACCCACTCCTCGTTGTGGAGTGCTGTGCTGGGGTGGCTGGGGAAACTGTCCTCTGGCCATCCCAAAAGCTGGGAAGGGAGGAGGTCTCCTGGCGCTCCTGGGCCATATGCCCCGGGGGATGTGGGCAGCAGGCCCGCCCCCCTTGATGCTCCTTCCAGAGGAGCTGAAAAAGCACACCTGACCGGCACAAGCTGAGCAAGTCACAAGGATGCAGCCACCAGCACCCAGCCAGCTGGGCCCTGCAGGCCCCCAGGCTTGTCTGCACCCCTGCCCCACACCCCAAGCCCTCCGCAGAGCTCAGTCCCAGCCCCAGCCCACCCTAGGCTCCCATGCTCTCCCCCTCCCTGCCCAGGTGACAAGAAGAGAACAGCGCCTGTGGCAAGCAACTGTGCACCCCTCCCCAAGCGCCCAGCTCCAGCCAGGCCTGGCCAGTGTGAGGCCACGAGGCCAGTGTGAGGCCACGCAGCGACCCTGAGAGGGAGGAACCACGGCGGGGGGGGGGCGGGGGAGGCAGGCCAGGGAGGAGGGCCGCATGCTGAGGACTCGGGTGTGCAGGCGGGAGGGGCTGTGCAGCAAGAGGCAGAGAGGGGGGAGTAGAGAGTGAGAGCTGGGGAGCCAACACGGGAGACATTCTGTGTGTACCTCAGGACCTCCGACAAAGAGGAGTCGCTGTCATCAGACCTGGGGAGGGCAGAAAATTAGCTGGATTAGGGGAGAGAGGAAAACACACAAAGGGACGGCAGAGGCAGCAGCAGCGCGGGAGGTCAGAGGGCGGGTTATTCTCTTCGAGGGCAGCAGGGAGACGCGGAGGGTCAGGGCGCTAAGGGACAGCAGGAGAGGAGGTGGGGAGGGGCGGGTGTCCCTCGGCTACCAGGGTAGGAGTGAGGAGGGGACCACGGGAGATGTGGGAGTGCCAGCCCCACACTCCGGAGAGACGTCTCAGTGCATGGGCCGTTGGCTGGTTCCAAGCCCCTGGCTGCCCCATCGTACGAGCTGGGGGCACCCTGCCCTGCCCCAGCAATGCTCCTACATGCCTGAGGCCAAAGGAAGCCATGCCTGCTCCTACTTCCCCCCGGGAGTTGGCTCCTTCCAGCCATTCCTCAGGAACTGTCCCCAGCAAGCCCACTGGGCTATACCTAGGAGCTGGGCCTGCACCACACATGGGCCCCAAGACCTGGCCCACTGGAGAGGACCACCAGGCCGGAAGGGCCAGAGTCCCACCTCAATGCTTCCAGAAGAGGGACCTATTGATTGCAAACATATGGTGGGCGGGCGGTGCCCTGGTTGGCATGGTCCAGGTTTGGTACCCTCCTCCTGAAATGGGAACTGAGCCAAGGTGGGTCTGGGGAGGGAGAAGTATTTTGACCCAGCCAGAGATGTCTCTGTGGGGAAGGGATGATGTCAGGTGCCAGGTGCAGGAACTGGCACTTTCTAGCCTAGGCTCCCCGGAACAACAGCACTGCACCCCTCCTCCCTGCCAGGGTAGAGAAACGTTTAGGGAGCCAAGAGAGGAGCCCTCTCAGATGCTGCAGAGAGTGGGAGAGGGCCAGAGAGGGGTCCAGAGTGTAGGGAACATGGAGGGGAGCATATGGAGGCTAGGATACCCCCTCTCCCAAGGCAGAGTCCCACTGTTAGGAACGTATGATGGAGCAGGTCAGAAGCCCCGGGTTCTGGGCCCAAGTCCTCCAATTTCTAGGTGAATGAATGTCCTTGAGCCTCTTTAAGCCTCATTTCCTTTTCTGTAAAATAGGGCAGACAGTTCTCATGGCTGATGTGCAGTCCACACGAATCACATATACAAAAGCAGGATGCACAGCGAAGTGCCTTCTGGATTCACGGGACTGCCCTTAACCCCCCGCTGTACTCTCCGTGGTCACAGCAGCCCGACAGGAGCTGGACTTACAGCTGGGCCGACCCAGCCGCACAAAGGCAATAGGGGGTCCCTTTCTACGGGGACAGAAGGGCCCCTGGGACCTCATCTGAGCATCTGCGGCAGGGAGGGAGTGGCTGAAGTTCAAGGAAGGGGTTTCAGAGAAGAATCCAAGAGTCAAAGAAGCAGCAGAGGAAGATTCAAGGCGCAGTGAGTGAGTCTCTGGGGGGGGCCTGACCTGCACGCACATCCCCACCTGCCTGCCCCCCATCCCTGTGGCTTCCTTCTTGCCCTCTCCTGAGGTCCCAGAATGCTGGGGGGAAGGAAGGGTCCACGGTTAGAACAGAAAGGGCAGAGATGCCCGCAGGGGAGCTTCAGAGCCTCATCTCTCGGAGGGGCTGGGACAGCGTGGTTAGGGGCTGCCCAGCTACCCCAGCCCTGCCTGCGGCAAGGATCAGCCCACCTCGTCCACACCCTCCCCAGCCCGTCCTGGCTCTTACTTGTCCAGTGCTGAGCCTTGGCTCTGATTACTGGTGAGACGAGAAAAGACGTTCCGGTCATTGCGGGGCCGAGTGGGAGGGGATGAGGGCGGCGTGAATCCCACATCCGTGGACCTGGTGAGCGGGGACAGAGCAGCATCTGTGAGTGAGCAAACCCCCACAGGCTCACACCCACACAGTGCTTCCAGCACCACCTTCTGTCTGGGGTTGGAAGGCCCACAGGGCAGCGCCTGCTGTGCAGCAATCCGAGAGCCTAGCTCCGGATTCAGCTCCCGGACACTGTTTGGAGACAGCCTGTCATCATTAGTCATGGATGCCATACTTGGGAATTCACCTGCTCATTACAGTGTATTAGTAATCCCAAATTAACTCTCACAGTGCTTTGGGGGTCATTCCCAGACATTGAGCAGAGCAGCGAAAAATCCAAGTCCCCATATGCACACGTTCCCAGCGGAGGTCAAATGAGGTGACCCTCTGCCCGCCTGCTCTCAGCTGTCAACAAGTGGCCTTCCTGTGGTCTATTTAGGGCAATGTTTTTTGCATTTTTGTGCTTTTCACTGGTGATTCACTGTTTAAAACGCCCCCAAAGCAGAGTGCCGAAGGGCTATCTGGCACATGTCTAAGCACATGAAGGCTGTGCTGTGTCTTATGGAGAATATATGTGTGTTAGAAAAGCTTTATTCAGGAGTGAGTTATGATGCTGTTGGCTATGAGTTCAATGTTAATGAATCAACAATACATATTAACTAAGGTACCTTTAAACAGAAACACACATAAAGCAAAGTTCTGTATTGATTGCCTGATGAAATGTTGTGACCAGAAGCTCTCAGGAACCTAACCCCATATTTCCCCAGGAGCAGTGGTTCCATATTTGCTAATTCAGTGTTCACGGTGGCTTGATAAGAACATAAGTACTGTGAATACTGAGGATTCACTGTATCAACAGGGAAGAGTTGAAGACTTCATTGCACCACCCCATTCCAATAGCACAACATCCCTCTCTTTGGAAAGCTGTCGTCAGGTTTGGCCTAAATCTTCCCTTCCTTTGAAGAGTCTTCTTCATGAGTTCGGCCTAAGTCCCTCACACTGCAGCTGAAGTGTGTTCTCTCAGTTCATGGGTGAAGTGATGGTCTACGAGGCCCCAAGTATATGGATATCTACGCAAGTCCTCCCCACCAAAGGCCCCCACCGCAAGCCACTGGCATGGGCATCTGCCCAGGCTTCGGATAGGAAGGAGGCCTGGGAGCCTGAGCAAGTCCTCCTGCCTCCCACCAGGTCAGGTGGCAAGAGGTCATCTTGAGCCCCTGCTCTGTTATTACTTAGTTGTGGGACCTGGAGAAAGCCATCGAACCTCTCTGAAAATTAAGTGCATGGACCAGATGACCCCAGCAGGCATCTGGTGATCTGAAGAAGCTCTGTGGGTCCCGGTCCTATGTGTGGCTGACCAATTAGAGACTTGTCCACTGTTCTGCAATCATCTCCTGGTTTTTCTTTAAACGTCTACACTCTTCTCACACGACAAGAACTTAGAAAGGGCTGAGGCCTCCCAAGGACCCCTGGTCATGAAAAGGAGCTGAAGCACATCAGCACAATGACTAGTTTAAGCCACTACAAAGCCACCAACATTGAGCCCACATCAGCCAACAGTTTTTGGCAGTGGGCTTAGCCATCCAGTTCAAGGAGATTATATTTCCTGAGCCCACGTCTGACAAGATGGGGAAGGGATCACTGCGCGGAGCGGAATGACTTAGTGATACTGGCCCAGACTAAAGTAGGCCTGATGACCTCCAGAGTAGAACATCACAGCGACTCATGCACCCCAGGATGGCCGTGACTCTGGTGTAGGTTCGGAAACATGCTCTCACCTGATGGGCTGCCCTCGGTCATAAGACTTCCTTCGGGTCAGAGGGGATGTCTCTGTGCCTCGAGACTGCCGGGGGCTAGAACAGAAGGGTCCTGTGAGGCCCAGATCTGACTTCCTGCCCACCCTGACCCACACCCCCAGCTCCCCTCCTTACAAAGTACTGCCTCTGGTGGGCAGGCTGATAGTGCGCGAGACCTTGTCCCGGTAGTAGGGGTCTCGGACGGAGAAGCCCACTCCGTTCTCTTTGATCTCAACAAGGGAGGCCAGGGACTTGGTGATGTTCTTGGTGGAGATATCCAGCGGGGGACCCAGGCACTCGGCTGACACAGCCTTCATTTGGGCAGACAGCTTGGGCTCACCCTGGGAATGGAAGGACTACGGTGAACCAACTTGCCCAAACATAAAGGGGGGCCGGGAATAATGCCTCTTGGCCTGTGGTAGAACCACTGATGGAAGATCCAGGAGAATAGCACCCAGAGACCCTCTCTCGAGGCTTCTAGGGAAGCCAAAGCAACTAAAAGGGTTTTACTGCCCTTATTCAGATTCTGCACACACAGAATGCTCAGACTGACCTCTTTGCTGGTCACCACCTAATCAGTTTATCCAAAAACTATGCACAATTCACTGTTCCCCCCAACCCTTCTCTGTTTAATAAATCCTGTTTCTTAGTTCAGACTAGTAACTGATCCCTCATTGGCGGGTGAACTACCCCAGTGTTGACTCCCATACTGTTGGATCAGTAATCTGCATGCAGAATAACTAAAGGTCTAGACTTAGTCTTTGACCCAGAGCACAAGGTGGAGTCTTAGGTGGGGAATGGGGAGATTTTTGAAAGCAGGGACTCTGGCTCTGGTGACATCACTAGGCAGTGACTGCAGCCATTTCTCCCACTTTCCACACACCTCAAAAAGAATGGGTTATAACCGGCTACATATCTGGACACCTCCCAATTCCAACCAGGGCACCTCCATCCCAGATGGAGGCAATATTGGGTCAGGGCTGGGAGGTGAGGGCAGAGGCACAGGAAGGTGGAGACCAGGCTGTGGGGAAACTGGCCCTGTTGCAGCCTACCATCTGCCTTCCCGTGGTACTCACCTTGAACTTGAAATCATCATGGCTGGTGGAACCTTTCATGGTGAATGACTGGGAGAAGCTAAGGAAGAAGCAAAGGGAGTTCAGGATCCTGAGAGCCTATGCTCTGGCTCTCTGAGCCTCAGACTTGTGGGTTTCAAAGAGCCCCCAAATCTAGGCTTAGCCCTGGGACCCTATGGCAACCCGCCACCCCCAGCCCCAGGTTCATGCTGTGTGAGCTGACCTCTCCCTCTCGCCTTGGAAACTCACCTCCCCTCAGAGAACTCTGAGATCTCCTCATCCGTGCTGGCGTAGCCATTCTCTGGGGAGGGAGGAGGGAGGAAGGTTGAGAGGCCCCAACAGAGTGAGGGGAGAGGGGGTGGCCTCCTCCCACATCTCATCCACTGGCATCAGCCTGGGGATCCTGAGGGCGTTCTGGGGAGGGGAGGGTCCCCCCAGGGATTGGAGCTAGGGAGCACTGGGAGAACCCAGAAGCCTTGAGGCCTTTGCCCACAGCCACCATACCCTGCTGCACGTTGTAGATGAGGGCCTGCAGCTCTGGGTGTGCCTCCGCCTTCTCTCGGAGGGCATCCAGGAGCAGGTGGTTCTGAGAAGAACCTGCTATGTCTGTCTGCCTCAGCCGTCCCTCCAGCAGCCGGATCTGAGCCTCCTTCTGTGCCACCTGTAGCCCCTGTGGGCAGAGAGCCAGGTCTGAGGTCACCCTCCCCAACCTGGGAGTGTGAGCACCCACATCACCACCCTCATAGAACCTGCTCCTGAGACACCCTGGGGGTGCCCCTCCCCAACATCACCCTCGAACCAGCCCCAGAGCCGGGCTAACTCCCAGACATCACCCTCGAACCTGCCCCAGAGCCGGGCTAACTCCCACACATCACCCTCGTACCTGCCCCAGAGCTGGGCTAACTCCCCAACATCACCCTCGAACCTGCCCCAGAGCCGGGCTAACTCCCCGACATCACCCTCGTACCTGCCCCAGAGCCAGGCTAACTCCCCGACATCACCCTTGAACCAGCCCCAGAGCCGGGCTAACTCCCACACATCACCCT